AACTTGTCCTATGTCTCTCATTCATAATATAAGATTTCTTTCTCTGAATTTGGATTTCATGAGAAAACGAAGCTGTTAAACTTAGTCTTGGTTGAATATGCTCTACGGAAGAGGCCGGTCTATGGTAATTTGCAATAGGGTAGTAATAAAATGTGGAAATTAAAATATGAGGTTAATCTTCTCTCTTACAGAAAGTTTTAAAAATTAAAACTGTGAAGAGGAATTGGAAGTGATTTTTAATGGTTACTCATGGTTCATCTATGGAAAATATGGTCTCATGATTTTAGCTCGGTTAAACAAAATTTTGAGAAGTTCATATTTGGGTGAAATTCTAACACATCTTTGTGTTGTTGGAATGAAGTTTGTATTTCTAAAATTGCGAGCAAAATTAGTATTCCTTTAGTTGTTGTTTCTTTAATGACTAAAGATTATCATCTTTCTTTTGCAAAATTTAATATCAAATTCATAGCAATTCTCATCGCCCATATTTTATTTCTCATTATATAAATGTGCAAAAACAAAAATTTGCTTGTGTTGTTTTGATGGAAAACAAGTCCCTGTAAAACATGTTCCACATTTGCTCATAATTTTTAATCTTGACTAATATCTAATAACCATCAATTTGCAGTTATTTTATCAATATTTAGAAAAAGAATAGTAACAAGAATATTAATACTCAAAAATTTCAAAAGCATATGAGTAAATCTCCTCTTCATGTTTCTGTTCTAATGTATTTTAATAATATTAGTGTTGGTCTTGCACATGTTATTAATATTAATGTTCTTGTTGGCATATCTTCTAGTAATAATGATGTGAATGAGAATATTGAAGAAATTCATCTCGTGATCTCTAATGCTAATCCTGAGATTATGTTGTCATTAGAGTTAACATGGTTTTCAGGCCACCACTAAAGTTCAAAATTGTTTGATTACTGATAATAAGCTTAATGTCATTGTTGGTTCAAATATTCTTGTTCTAAACGATTGTTCTGTTTTGGATAATATTATTGGCTATGTTATTATGGCGGATGACATAAGTGACATTATTGTTAGAAAATATTTTTTTAATACTTCTACTGGCAATATTATTACAAATAACTTTAATTTTGTGTTTTCTTGTATTCATGTTAATTTACTCTCCTCCTAAAGGGCATAGAAAGGGAAGTTTAAAGTTGGTAATAATGCATGTTAGGTTTTCTTTTTCTTTTTTTTTTAGTTTGTTTTATTTTTATCTTTTTTTATTTTTGCTATATCCAAATGTTTTGGCTTAAAATATTTGTGGGTTTAATAATGATGCATAAGTTGTTGATTGTAAGAAATTTTTTTATGAAAACCAAACGCATATGTTTGCTCTTATTGAAACAAAATTGTTGCTCCTTCTATTTCTAACGATTACTTTGGTAAGTGGTTTAATCGTTTTCCTAATGAAGGTAACATGCATAATTTTGACTTAGACGGTTGTGGGAGCTTTTAAATTAAATGGAACTTTGGTATTATTTCTTTCAAAACTTTTGAAGTTAAAAAACAATACATTCATGAACACGTCGTTTTCTCTTATTCATTTAAATTTTGCATCACATTTATTATGCTAAAATAGTGCTTTAGTTCAGAAGGATCTGTGAGATTCTATTTTCTTGCATTCTAATAATATTAATAAGCCTTGTTTCTTTTTAGATGATTTCAATTGTATTCTCAGAGTTAAGGAAAAGATAGATGGTCTTTCACCTATCCTTAGTAATTATTTGTTTTTAATAATTATATTCTTAATTATAATCATATAGAATTACAAAATATTGGTCATAATTTTAATTGGTTCAATAATCAACTTGATAATCCTATAAGCTTTTTTTTAGATAGAGCTTTTTACAATAATTTTTAGTTAATATTTTTCCTTTTATTTTTTCAAAGCTTTCGATATTTTTATATTTGATCACTCTACTGATGTTTGGTGAATTAATGTTAAATTGATCTTTTATTTTCGATTTATAATAAACTCAAGAATATTAAAAATGGATAATGAAATGAAAATGATATAAATCCAAATATATTTCAAATTATATATGAAATTTAAAAATAATAATAATGTGTTATTCTGAAAGGCTTGGATACCAATCCTCCGTGTCGATATTTGCTTAATCAAGCTTTTATTATTAAAAATGACCTTCATAATGCTTTTTTCTAGCAATTATGAATGGTTAAAGTAAATAGTTAAAATTGATTGATAATCTAATATGATACTAAATTTAATTATCAAAATTCTAGAATTTTAAACAATTCTAATATAATTAAATACATTATTGTAAATAATAGTTATTTGCAGCATTAGAGGGATATTGTTAATGGAGTAATCTCTTTTTTACTTTTCTAATATGGTTTATGATAACATTCATGTTAGTAATTTTATTTCTTTTTTTGATAGAGTGGATTTAAGATTTAATTAAGAAGTTTTCTAGTGATGAGACTAAAATAATTTTTATTTTTTCGATAAGACTAAATCTACAAGTGTAAATGTTTTTTTCCCAATTTTCAAAGATGTGCGGGATAATATTGGAGATGATCGTATTCATGCTGCTAAATAGTTTAGCAATCTTTTTAATAGAATTAAACATGCTTGTGTTTGTTTAATTCATAAAAGACAAGGTGCTCAATTTTTTTATGACTTTTGTCTTATATCTTTTTATAATATCTTGTATAAAGTTAGTTTCAAAGTTTTGGTGGATAGAATCAAACCTATTATTTCTAGTATTATTAATCATACTAAAGATGCTTCTATTAAAGGTATAGGTAATTCAAATAACATTATTATCTCAGTGAGCTCTTATATGATTTTAATTATTTTTGTTATGATAGAAGATTTTATCACAAAATAAATCATAAAAAGACTTTTGATATAATGCACATAAATTTTCTCTATGATAGATTGGTTAAATTGGGATTCTCTAGTATTATTATTTGTTAGATTAAGGCATGTACTACTGATGTTTATTTTTGCTGTTATTGTTAATGGAGAAATTAATTATTATTTTCTTCTTCTTTGAGTTTGCATAGGGTTGTTCTTTCTCACCTTATTTATTTGTCATAGTTATGGATGCTCTTTCTTCAACATTAGATGCCTTGAGCTAATTTATATGCAATATAGCTTTAATAAAGTTAATAATCTCATATATGTTATTGATATTTTGATATATGACAATGTTAATAATTCTCTTATAACTCATTTGAGTGATATCCTGAATAATATTAATATTGTCTCTAATATAGTGTTTAATTCTCTAAACTAGTTATTTATTTCTCTAAAGTTGTAGATTATACTCTTTGGCATAATTTATATGTATTAGTGGCTTTATTATTATACCTTTGCCTCAGACTTATTTTAAAATTACTGTTAAGAGTTTTAAGCATAACATGGATGATTTTCATAAAAAATTTGACAAACTTAGGATTTTGTTGGTTGATTGGAAGTAGAAAATTTTATTCATTGCTAGTCATTTTCAAGTTAATTGGTGTTTTGATCATTAAGGGTCTATTTGGATCAAACATGGTTCCACAACTTCTTCATTTTGGAAATACCTTCTGAATATAACATTCAAAATTAGAAGATGCCTTTCATTTTCAATAAATTACAATAGTAGTCTTCTCTTTTTCAATGAACCTTAGATTAAAGGTCTTTTTTATTTAAGATTTATAGAATTTTAGTATTTAATTTATTTTAATTCACAACCAATATCAAAGTTAAAAATATTTTAGGTAATTGTAATTGACGTTTTCCTCGACATTGGGATGCACCTAATCACTCTTTCATCTTATTTACAACATTACTGTTGTTGTCGGTGATTGCATGAATTGTTTTTTTAAGGAAAATATATATATTCTAATAACACTATTTATTAGTTTATTTATGAAAAAAAAAATTATTTATGATTCAATTTGATTAATTTGATATAAAGCTTATTCTATTAATTCGGTTTTGCATACTTTGAGAATCTTTAACGGAGGTTTTAATACTCGTGACATTCTTATTTCCAAGCGTATTAATGTTTATTCTAATTATGTTCTTTGTCTGAATGAGTTTGAGACATATAATCATTTATTTTTTAATGTTATTTCTCTCGTAAATTATTGAAATTTGGCATCCCTAATTGGGTTTTTTCTTTGTTTCAATTAGTTTTCATCAATTTTTTTATTACCCGAGCGGTATTAATTATAAAATTTTACAAAAGATTCTTCTTGTTAGCTATTCCAGTTATTGCTTATTCGATCTCATTTGAAAGAAATTGAAGAAATTTCAATAGGTCTAAAACTCACATTAAGGTTATTGCTAGAAATATTCATTAGCTTATTAAAATGATATAAAAAAAATAAATTTTTAAGAAAGTGTACCTAATTTTATTAGGGTTTTTTATAATTTGCAATTTAATTTTCTATCTATTTGTTGTGTTTACTTGTTTTTTATTTGAGTTTAATTGTTGTCACTTCCTTATGGTACCTGGTTGTAGTCTTTTTTCCGTGTTAGCCTGATATTTTAGAGTTTTTAATCTTTTTTTTTTAGTTATTATGATTTTTTCTTGTTGTTGTTGTTGTTTAGATTCCCTTTTAATTTTAGTGGTTTTTTCTTTGTTTGATTGATTGACACATGTTGTTTTAGTTCCTCTTGTTGTTGCTCTATTTTGTGGATGTTGTTTATGCTTATTAATCTTTTTTGTTTTTTTGTTAAGTTTTATTTGTAGTTTTTTTTTTAACATATTTATCTTTGCTTGTATTTTAGCTTTATTTGCTTAGTTCTTTAACTTATCTTTGTGGCTTAGAAGTTCAATTGTGATACCTAATTTTTTTTTTCTTGGATCAAAATTGAGTTAAGCTGTGTTTAATTTTAAAATAAGTATATTTTATCAATTATTTATAAATTAAATCTATTTAAAATAAAAAGGATTAAGACAATATAATAATCAGTTCAACACCCAATTCGCCACCCAGCCCGCCCTCCTCTCAAATTCCCAAATCATGGCCGCTTTGAAGGTGACGGCTCCCCTCCCATCGATTCCATCTGCTATCAACCTCGCACGTCACCGGCCGTTCCGGCGATCCCTTGTCGCCGCTGTTGCCACACTCTCCGGTGGCGGAGCCATTAGCGACTCACCGTCTTCTCACCAGACGCACCAGCGGCAGCTGGTACTTTACACAAAACCCGGATGCTGCCTCTGTGAAGGCCTCAAAGAGAAGCTTCATGCCGCGTTCTCCTTAGGCGGACCGCACTCTCTCCAGTCCGTCCAGCTCCAGGCTAATACCTCCCTGCCTCCCTTTGATTCTCTCTCTGTCTCCGTGACTCCACTCCCTCTGATTCTCTCATTCTGAATCGATGGTTTTAGGTAAGGGATATTTTCTGCCTCCCTTTGATTCTCTCTCTGTCTCTGTGACTCCCTCTGATTCTTTCATTCTCTCTGATTCTTTCATTCTGAATCGATGGTTTTAGGTAAGGGATATT